TATATATATATATATATATGTGTGTTTTTATCAATTTGAGTAGAAAATTATGACTATTTTAAAATATATTTTAACTGCCGGATTAATAAGGTAAATACAATATATATATATATCGTTTATAACACATGTTAATATATAGTTCGACTCCAAAATGTTTTGCATAAATTTTACCCCCGCCCTCCGAAAAATTACCAGGTATAGTGCAACCGGTCGTTAAAAATGATTTTTAACCTCTTTAAAAAAATTTGCAATTTCACTATTTTATGAACAAATTGATCATAATTCTCTCTCTCTTTCTCTCTCTCTCTCTCTCTATATATATATATATATAGTAAAGGTAAGAAATCCGTTGTTCTATAATCCAAGTGGATCCTAGTAATATAAAATATTAAAACTGATCCACAAATAGAGTTCAATATATTTCTTATTACAGAACAAATAATAAATAAGCAATAAAATCCGAAATCACTTAATATAGGGAACAGCTTATGTCGCATTAATTTGGGGTTATATGAAGAATCATATATTAATTTAAAATTAATAAAGAGATAAAAAGCCGTTTAAATATAACTTTAAAATATATAGTTAAAAGGATGTAAGGGATTAATGGAAAGAGAGTAGGGGAAAGTTTATAAATTATAATTAATATACGTAAAGAGGTTATAGAGGGGATAATATTGAAATTAAATTTAATTATACATTCGACATTTGAAGAGTTATAGGGGGAGAGTGAATATTACTCAAATATAAATCTAATTAGGTTAAACCTATATTATGGAAATTTGAACTTGTTTTTATGCCAACATTTAACACTAATTCATTCCTCTGATTTATTAGTTGGTTTTGATTATTATATTTTAATATTCTAATTTTTCTTCTAAACATAAGTTTCACTTATCTCTAAGATTATTAGGATACGTGCGGAACCTTCCAAACTATCTGTAGGTTCAAACCTTTCTCCTTCAATTCCCAAGATTTTTTTTGAAAGAGCTGTTAGATGTTTTAGTTGAGTGTTACAAAATGAGTGCCTATGCGTATAAAATCTCTGTTTCCATTCCATCGCTGAAATTCCAGTGAAAACATTGTAATTTTTCATATTGTTTTGGAGGAAAATGATCGCTTGATATATATAACCCTGCTAAATCTGCATTTGCCCCCTACTGGACAATATTCTTTAGATCTACAATTACAAGAGGATTCAATACCAGGTTTGTTGTTTGTCCCATAAAAATTTGTTAAATTATGGTTATTGTGTGAATTAATAATTTTAAACATGTTGTTGGTACAGGAGTAGTTAATCTTAATCGTTTTGCCATTGAAGATCTTACTTAGAGGATTATATTTTTTTAAGTGTTTATTTATTAACTTTAGAAAACACAGTCTGATATTAATATTTGACAGTTTGCAGAAGGGGAGTTGAACCATATAATATTTCTTTTTCTGTGTCTACATTTCACTTTAGATATTTCCATGTTACTTATTAGGTTAGATAAGATCCACTTTTTGAAGAGCATTTTCATACAATATATATATATATATATATATATATATATATATATATATATATATATATATATGTGTGTGTGTGTGTGTGTGTGTGTGTGTTTTGCTATTAGAATCGACAAATTGTGCCTATATTTTTCTGGCGGATTAATTTCCGTATTCTGGAAGTGAATGTGTGAAAAGATGCACAAATTCTGTGTAAATTTATTTAGAATTTCTTTCTTTTATTAAGTATTTCAGGCTTTCGACTGACTTTAGTTAGTGTCAAGTATCACATTCTGTTAACATCTTGTAGCGATTGTGTACTTCAAAGTTGGATATGATGCGTTAGTCATTTTAAATTTATTAGTTTATTATTATATAGTTATATTAAATAAACTAACACGAACCATGAACAGTTCGATCTTACTACCAATTTTAATATACAGAAAATCCGTCCTGTTAGAAAAAACCCCAGATATTATAGGTACAATATGGTTTCAGATAAGACGTTTAACACAATTTATTGTAAGAATCACTGAAAACACCTATGATTTATTGAGCTAGAAAGAGAACAGGTTAAAATCGTTTTGTGTCAGCCCCAGTGTCTTCTCAACTGAGTAATGGTGAGAGGTAAGACCATTCAAGCCTTCAGTAATCGTACCAACATCTATACTCTGGATTTCATCTTTAAGAACCATCAAGAGAATGGGGGATAAGTTTTTAAAAAGAGGGAAGAGTAGAGAAAAAAAACTGCATCAGGTGGGAACAGAAGCAAGAGGGATCAATGTTTCAACAGATAAACTGATGAATTAGAAAAGATCCAATGTAATCCATAAGACATGTGGCTCGTGAGAGTGGAGTTTCAGCTATGGCAGTCCCAAAATACCATTTGTGAGGAATCACTGAAAATATTGAATAAATGAATTATTCAGCTAGAAAGAGAACAGTTTAAAATCGTTTTGTTTCAGTCCCACTGTCTTCCCAACTTAGCTATCATTCAGGCTTTCAGTAATAGTACCAACATTCATGCACTGGCTTCTTTAGAGTTCATTCAAGAACCATCAACAGAACGGTAAATAAGTTTTAAAAAGAGGGAACAGTAGAGATGAAACTGAATCAAGATGTCACAACACGAAGAGGGATCTTCATTTCAACTTATAGCTAAAGAGATCAATTAGAAAAGGTCCATTTCAATACATAAGACGTTTGGCATGCGAGAGAGAAGTTTCAGTTATGACAGTCCAAAGAGCAGTGAAAAAGACTTGAAAAGGATGTCGTACATAAAACGTGCGAGGCACCTTATTACTCCAGGATAGAATATTAGAAGGTTAGAAAGGGTGAAGATCATCTTGAATATGTTGAAAAATGATCCTGAAATAATATGATTTTCCAAGTATAGCATAGATGTGGCACAATGCCTAAAGTATAGGACACCCAGTGAGGATCAAACTCACTACTTAGTTGTAATTGTTCTAACGATACAAGCTTGCTAACCATTGCACCACCTCGATGTGCCCTGAAATGATTTTCTAAGCCTAGATTAGATGTGGCATAAGGCTGAGAGTGTCGAGCTCCCAGTGAGGAACGAACTCACTACAAAGCCGTAATCGGATCAAGCTAACCATTCATGATCTCGAAGTGACGGATCTTGAAATATATATATATATATATATATATATATATATATATATATATATATATATATATATGAACTTTATTTCAATCATTTAGGAGCGTCCGATCCTTATCTATGATTAATTAATGATGAACATGTTATCTTTGTTTATGATCGATTTTATCATGATTGTCCTGTCAAGCTTGGAGAGTAATTATACATTATTACTGCTTAAAGTAGAGCCGAATAGTGTTATAAAAGCCTCGGAGAATTCCACTAAGATATCTTTAATCATTTCTAAGTTATAACGGTTCAATGCTTAATCTAACAAGTGTACAATTTTGCTATTACGTCCGGTATATATATATATATATATATATATATATATATATATATATATATATATATATATATATATTACGTTTTACATATTATATATGTTACGCCCGGTATGTATATATATATATATATATATATATATATATATATATATATATATATATATATAAATCTCAAATATTAATATTCCATTCCATGGTTATAGTTTATTACATTGAATTCGTATCACCATCAATTCATCAGACCTACAAGTTCAAAAATTTTTGAATTTGGAGGTCTGATGAATTGGATCGTGATTACGATTCCAATGTAATAAACTATAACCATGGAATATTAGTGTTTGAGCCCTTTATGTTATATTCTTACTTATCCTGGACATTGAGTTCTACCTGGACTATCCTCTTGTGAATTTATATATATATATATATATATATATATATATATATATATATATATATATATATATATATGTATTAACCACTAATATTATCATTATCTATCTCTCTCTCTCTCTCTATATATATATATATATATATATATATATATATATATTGTCATATGAGCATGTAATAACTTCAGAGCCATTTATGACAGCTAGCACAGACGCTTTGACTCTATTAAGAATTTTATTCTATATTTTTCCAAATCACTAGAATCTTGTCTTTACTTTTGAATATTTGCTTGGACTGACTGCATAGATGTTTTTTGTGTTATCCTAAAACAAATCTATCTATCTATCTATCTATCTGTTAAAATATTTATGTCAATCTTTGAATTATGTATGTATGTATGTATATATGTACTTATCTATCTATCTATCTAAACCGTTTCATAATTTCTCTTACGCCCCCTCTCTCTCTCTCTGTATCTATCTATATGTTTCAGTCTTTTCAGAATCTGCCTATCTCAGTATTTAAATATTTATGTCCTTCTTTGTATTATGCAAGTATGTATTTATCTATCTCAGCCGTTTTATAATCTCTCTCTCTCTCTAGCTACCTGTCTGTCTGTAGTGAGTGTCCCAATTATTGGTTAAATATCAGAGTGGTCTGGGGTCTGTAGCTATTGTAATCTGCATATAATAAAGAAACAGGATCTGGGGAGAGCCATGATGGTTCAAGCCCTGAAGTCATATAGCATTTTACAAAATATAATCCTTAAAGCTAACTGACAATTAAATAATTACCGAGTGGAACATGGCTTAATTTTTAATGTTATTACATGTTGAACAAAATCAGCAATACTTTCTGAAGTTTTTATAATAATGTAATGTTAAATATAATGGTTGGAATCATATATGCAGCCGAATGTGCTAATCTTAAACAGAGATACTGATGTCTCGAATTTATAAATTTGAATAAAATTACGTATATTTTCAATAAAGATTTTTTCGTTTTGAATAAGTTACTCGAGGATGAATTTATGCATTGCTTATAGACTAGTGAAATTATCTATGGAGATGTTTGACCAGTTAAAACTATTTGTCCATAAAGGTGTACTTTCGTCTTTTGGTATGTTCTGGGAATTAATTCTAGGATCGGTTTACGGCCACATCACATTCCCATTCTGGTTCTCTGGTTCCCATACGATCACCGAAGTTAAGCAACCACACGCCTAGTCAGAAGCAAGATGGGTGACCGCTTGGCAATACCAAGTGTTGTACGCTTGTATATTCGGGTGGTGCAATGAATAATGTGTCGGAATTATTAATAGAAGAGTTCAGTTCCAATTCCAGTTGGGTTTATTATATTAACGTACGCACAAATACTTCTCCATTCTCAGTCATGAGTTCATCAGTAAGACATGAAATGTAAAGATTGAAAGAGACGCGTATAGAAAATTCACTACCAATTACGGGAAAATGTGTTTATGTTTCGATGAAGTGGTAGATTCTTCTTTCTTTTAAAATGTTTACAGCTTCTTTTTCTCTTTCAAAGTTTTATGATTCTAATCCTTTTGGCTATTTTCAGTATGTCAATTTCTTTTCATGCTCTGTTTTTCTGAGCATAAAAATTATCTGCTATAATTGAAGTGATTCTTAATGTTGTATACTGAAAAGCTGCATTAATCATAATATACTTAAATGCACTGTAAAACCGCATCTCTGTCACGTCACACTCGCCTGTTTATCTGTGCAGAAATTGTCCAAAATTCACTGTTGGTGATTTAATCATACGGCTACATCATGATGAAATACCGGTTCCCATACGTTCATCGAAGTTAAGCAACGTGACATCTGGTCAGTGACCGCTTGTGCGGATGGTGTAAAGGATAAAGGCTCGGAATTGTTAATCGTAGAACCGAGTTCCAGTTTCTGTGGTGTTCTTTATATTCACATACGCGTAAATACCCTTGGGAAAAGCATGAATCCACCTCTTCTCCTCCATTTTGTGTTAATTAGTAAGATTTTTATTAATTTTTATAAATCATTATTATCTAAAAGAATTCTTACAATCTAAAAATATTTTCTGCCTTTAAATAACCTGCGATGGGTTGATAAACCGTAGAAAACGAATCAATCAATAAATTAATCAATTCTATGATTGTACAAATCCGCAACGTCCTGGACATGACGATAAACTACATCCAGTAGCAAGATCTCTGGCCGGGAGGTTTTGAGAAGTGTGGAACACCCCTCTTAATTGCTCTTGTTCCCTGGTCCACTCTGACTCGGGGTGGTAGCAGCTGTTTCCAGCTATGAACAAATAGTTAACCGCCAAACTGTGGTCAAAACACTATGAAAGTATAAAATGCACTTTTATAATAAAAAAATAACAGCCACACATTTCATAGTAAAAAAGTTACATTAATAAAAAATACATTTGTATAAAAAAAATAAATATAAAATAAATGAAATTTCACCAGAAATTACTAATGATACCATGAAAATTAAATGTCGGCATTAAATGACCCACAAGGTGTTGATATGCCGCTAAATAAACAAACAAATCCGCAGTTGTTCAACTCCAAATTATAACATTTAAGCACCATTCCCTATATTTGAAATATTTTCTAGATTACTTATAATAACGGTGAATGCTAGGAAATATGTCCTTATTGTGCGTATTAACCAAAAAATTCAGCGGGAAATTGACACTTGAACACACAAAAAAGCAATATTGTATAAAATTTTATCGTTACAATCTTTGTGCTATTAGTAAGAAGAAAGATTGGTGAGCATTCTAATGAAAAATAATTTATAACGCCATTTTAATAACGTTTGAAAAAATACAAATTTAAGTTGTTCGTATATAATATTGTTGTTTATTCACTTCTGAATTTGTCAAGTCTGATTTTTCAAGGATTTTCGTTCATCTTTCGATCAGCAGGTGACCAATTTTACTTTACCCATCAACTTCCTATCACTTGATTTTCTTGTATATATATATATATATATATATATATATATATATATATATATATATATATACTTTCGAGGCTCCATTCTGTATGTTGTTACTATGACGCCATCTTTTAGTTTAATTATCCGTTGCACCTAGCTCTTTTGACATTCTGACGTGACACCGAGTAGAAAGCTTACTTTGGTATCTCTTAGGTTGATCCCAGTATATATATATTGTGGTCACTACTGATTAACTTCTCTTAGAAAAAAGGTTCTTGATTGATATTAAGTTTGATTTAGACCGACTTGAATCATATACTACATTGTGTATTCATGAAATATGTGTTTTACACACGGAAAAATGCAATCATTTGCATTAGAAAAAAATTAGATTAAAAACAATTTCATTAAAAAAATCATGTAACGAAATTCAACCAATTATTGCATTTTAATAAAATATTATTTAATCAAAGTATTTATTTAATAAAGAAAGACTCTAAAAATGTTTCCGTTGATAATTTTTAAGAAAAAGCAGTGGTGCTTACAAGTTGCGAACGATGTAAGTTTCGAAGCAAATAATGCTCTATGAGCCGAAAGAGTACGGATCTGTGAAATATCGGGAGACTATTACAACGTATGATAACGCAGTAGTTTATTTGATTGGGATTAGGATCTAGAACTTTTTCCCAGTATTTTCCACCAGAGGTTTGCTGAACACGCGCGTTCAAAACCTGTGAATACGATTGAATAAACTGTATTAAATTTAAAAGTACATTTATTCAAAACGATATTACGTTTCTTTGTGTAGGATAATCATGGTTAATTTGGGTTTTCTTTTTTCTGTTCAGTTATGAATACTTAAACTAAATTCGTTAAATAAGCACATACAGTTAACGACGAAATTATTCGTACACCCATCAATTTTGAATATTTTTATCCATTTCTCAGAATCTAATACCCGTATGATGCCAGGTTTTTTATATGTTATTACGAACAAAAAAAATGCAAAAAAAAAAAAAAAAGGAATATAAAACTCAATTTTCAGAACAATAGGTTAAATACAACAAATTTGACTGGCGAATAATGCAAAATAGGAAAAGACAAAATTATTCATACAGCAGAAAATATAGTCTTAAATTGATTGTAGCGACTAGGATTGAGGAATCGGGGAGCCGAGTTCGAATTTCAGTCGAATGCATTACATTCACTTACGTGTTAATACTCTTGGGAATGTATGAATCATCATCTTCTCCCTCCAGCTATGAGTAAATAGCAGGTTCTATAGCCTTGGATGGCAAATGGCAACCTACTGCGGGAAAAAACTGTCTAATCAGTCATGTATCGAAAGATACATGATTGCTTTAGCGTGTAACACGTATGGCATATAACTGATTTGTGTACGTATAAATAATTTATATAATTATTTTATCGGTGAAGCCTTCTACACTGTTTATTCAGTAGAATATTTTTTATAATTCCAGCAAAGAACATCACGTAGTGTATAGGGTGTCACCATTGTTATACTTACGTTAACAATATGATGGGTAAAGCAAAGGAGCTTACACTTGACTTGCGACAAAGAACTATTTACTTTCACAAGTCGGGATATAGTTACAACACTATTTCAAATCGATTAGCTATCCCTCAATCTACAGTATAGTCTATTATAAAGAAGTTTAGCAAGTTTGGCACGACAGCGAATTTGCCTGGGCGTGGAAGAAAATCCAAATTGTTACCGAGAACTGCACGAAAACTGTATTGTGATGTTAGTATAAACTCAAAAGCTGTTTTGAAAAAAAGTTTAGATACGTTGTTTAAATAGAAAGAGGTTGCATGGAAACTGACCACGACGAATCTCTTTTCACAAACCATGTTACATTGTTGTTCAGTTTAAGTTTGCCAAAACGTTCTAAGACAAAGAATATTGCTTTTGGTAACAAGTACTATGGAGTGATGAAACAAAAATTGAGCTTTTTGGACATAATGATGTACAGAAGATTTGGAGCATCCACCCAAAGAACACAATGGCGACATTAAACATGGAGGTGGCTTGATGATGTTTTGGGGTTGTTTTAGCTCAAGGTGCTTGGACAATTAATTGCAATGAGAGGAATAATAAAGTCTGCAGATTATATCAACATTCTGGATGAAAATCTACAATTATCAGCCCAAAATCTTCATCTAGGTCGACGATTTACTTTCCAGCAAGATAATGATCCCAAACATACGTCTAAATCAGTGACTGCGTGGCTTCAGAAAATGAAGATGCCGTGGCCTTCAATGAGTCCTGACTTGGATCCTATTGAAAATCTATGGCAAGAATTGAAAGTTCGAATAAACCGCCGGTGACTAAAAACCTCCAGGAATTATAACGTAACGATAAAAGAATGGAACAAAATCCCAGAAAAGACTTGTCCAAATCTCATCAAAAACATTAGAAAACGATTACAAGTCAAAAAGAAGAGAGGCTATGTAATTAATTATTAATATTATGAAGATTGCTCAATTTTTCTATTTTTCATATTGTACGAATAATTTTATCCTTCCGTATTTTTCAAAATTCGCCTTTCAAATTTGTTGTATTTAAACTATTGTTCTGAAAACTGGGTTTTATATTCCTTTTTTGTGCTTATTATCATATAAAAGCCTGGCATCATACGGACATTAGATTCTGAGAAATGGATAAATATATTGAAAATTGATGGGTGTATGAATAATTTCGTCGCTGACTGTATATCTTTAGTTAGATATTTAAACATGTTTTTTTTTCAGGTGATAGTGGGTGACAGACGATAAGGTGCTATTTTTTTACTATGGTTGGTTGAAATAATACAATTACAAAGATCTCTCACCAGTCAATGTATGACCTTACCAGTACTAGATAATTAATTATTCAAGCCACGAATATGCTCGGAGAAATAATCTGATCATTGAGTAACATGTACATTCTGAATTTATATCTTCACGTAAACAAAAAACGAATATATATATATATATATATATATATATATATATATATATATATATATATATATATATATGTGTGTGTGTGTGTGTATTAAAAAATACAATAACAAATTAAACATATATCTGTCTATATTTCTGAGATGAGGTATTGTAACTATGTGACAGAAAAGGTGGGGGCAACAGTCCGAACAATGTAAATAGTGTAAACAGTTCTTTTTCCATTACACTTATTTGGATGAATACCTGCTGCCTAAATATCCCTTATAGCTACCGCCATAGAAACGCGATACCACAGGTTTAAAATGAATTTGTAAAAATGAAAAATATTTCTTGAAGCTTCTATTTTAGTTTTA